TTTCGGCCTTAAAATGGCCGCTATTCGGCTATCGTTAATCGGATCATGAAAAAAATGCATGTGCATATGTCCCATATAATGTGTGATGTATGAGTGAAGTTTGAACTTAATCGGTCCATGCATGTTCGAGATACAGGTGATCACGGACGGACGGACGGACAGACGGACGGACAGACGCACACAGGGCAAAACATAAGACCCCGTTTTCGGACTGTGTCCGAACGGGGACTAATAATGAAATTTATTTTCTACAACAGCATTTCAAAACTCATGTCAGCGATTTTCCATTCATCTCTATACCTTATGCATAACACTACGATCACCACGGGTATTCTCTGCTGCTGTTGCGATCATCTGTCCCTGACTTTTTGGTTTAAAAATACACAAATTTAGAATGTTTTGTTAATTAAAATGATTCATTGACGATTATCTTAGAAATTACATCAAAATCGCCAACGAGATGTTGTTTTTAAACATCGCGGAAAAACATGCACTCAGCGCCGTCATCTTTGTTACCTCGATCGGAATCCCCCCTTGTAACCCAGCATGCATTGGTCTCGATGTCACCATGCGTTACGTCGCTTCAGTGGCGTTCCTCGGTAATGAGGCACTCGATGCATGAGGTATTTCTAGAGGTCAGGGTTCGTTTTTTCTTCGGCCTTCTCGTCTGCAGTTGAATAATTTTTGCTTCCATTTATTTACGATTTTTTTCCAATGTGACTTAATTTCACTTGTTTTTTCTAATTCTTGGTAATTTTGTCATCGGCGATGGAGTAGTAAAAACCGCAATTTACCGCAGTGCAGCAAATCGGGGTAGATCTTCCCGACGCAATGGACAAATTATTACTTTGCAGGCCCCGATCCCCTTGACAGACTTCCTGTAGACTTCCGTTTTATCACTGTTTTTGTAAGGCTAACAAAGGCAGGATTACCCTTCGATCAATACATGTTATTGTTTTAAAGATGTGCAAGACGTGGCTGACACTTGTAAACAATACAACAACTTAAGCATCGCGGACAGGGTTTCAAGAATCGCGGGCGAAACGAAAGCGACGCGGCTATTTGTGCAAGCGACGCAGGCCCGCGGTGCTTGAAAGGCCTGGGGAGAACACTGAGTAATATGGCCAAAAATATAAACAGTCGTTATTCGGCCATCTTTGATCTGATTATGAAACACACTGATATGTATGATGTATGTGCCAAATACATTTGAAAATGGTACATAAATTGTGGAAATATAGTAGTAAGGTTCAAAAAGTCAGATGGCTGTCCATCGGCCATCCTTGACCAGATTTTGAAACAAATTGTCATAGACATGCATTCTAACATGTATAAAGTAGATGTATGTGCCAAATTTGAGTGAAAACTGACAGAGCACGTCCAAGATACTGCATAAAAAAAACAAGATGCCTGCCAGTCGACCATCTTTGATCCAATTGCAAAATAAATCGTCATGGACATGTATAATCTATGTACCAAGTTTGAATGACAACTGACAAAGCATGTCCAAAATACAACATTTTCAAAAAACAAGATGGCTGCCAGTCGGCCAATTTGAATCGAAACGCTAAACCACTGCATGTGCATATGTCCCACATAAGGTACTAGGCACATGCAGAGAATGAACGGAATCAGTCCACAGGATTCTGAAATATGACTCTGAACAGACTGACGCACAGACAGACGGACACACGGACGGACCGACAGACGGACGGACAGACAGACTCAGGAACTCATGGACTCATATGATCTATGTACTAAATTTGAATAAAAACTGACAAAGCATGTCCAAAATACAATATTTTCAAAAAACAAGATGGCTGCCAGTCGGCTATCTTTGATCCAATTGTGAAATAAATCATCATGGACATGTATCCTAACATGTATAATCTATGTACCAAGTTTGAATGAAAACTGACAAAGCATGTCCAAAATACAATATTTTCAAAAAACAAGATGGCTGCCAGTCGGCCATTTTGAATTAAATCGCTAAACCACTGCATGTGCATATGTCCCACATAAAGTACTAGGCACATGCACAGAATGAACAGAATCGGTCCAAGGGATTCTGAGATACGACTCCGGACGGACGCATGGACGGAGACAGAATTATAAGTCCCCGTTTTCAGACTTCGTCCAAACGGGGACTAATGAAAACAAATGTTCATATTGAATGTTAGCCTGTTATGGTCTGCGTCCTCATTGACAGAATGATGTAAGCTGTACTGGTAAAATCATAGTTACAGTGAGTTAATA